GAAAATAACATTCTTTTAGAATGAACCATGTAAAAAACACAGCTCTCACCTCAAACAGGGTAAAAGATAAAAGAGTTTCTTCTGGAGCCAAATATGAGCAACTATGAACAAAGATTTAGGTTACCTCTAGTCCCATGTTCCAATGTAGAAGCAGTTTCATTCAGTTTTTATACTAAGGAGTTTGAAGGCGAAGTGCTTTTCAAATCCATTGATGGAAATATTAAGTGGGTAGTTTCAGCAAAGAGAAATCTCAGCCACAGGCCTCAGATATTGTCTGGTGGTTCAGACCTCTGGTTGTTAGAGAATAGGGTTTTGCTAAATTAATGCATTCCAAAGGGTTTTTATCTCCTAAATCATGGAATGTCAGGTCCAACAGAGAGCTATTTAGGAAATGACCACTTAGGGGAATCAAGATAAATAACAGCCCAAGATAAACTCTAAATTAGACTCTGGACCTGCAACATGCCAAACTTTTCACAATCATTAAGGTTCTAATCAATCATCGGTGTAGAATGTTCAGTTTGAAGACGTAGTTTCTTTCCTGAAACTTCTGTTCAGAGAATGAAAGCCAAGAAAGGAACCTCATAGCATCTAAACATATCCAGTCCCAACCTCTGACGACATAAAGTGGACACTAATATGTTTTTTCCCTACTGTACTCACAGCACAAATCACTTCTCTGACCCCCAAAAAAAATGTGTTAAGTAACCAGAATTACTATTGCTGTGATGAAACACCACGACCAAAAAGCCAGTTGGGGAGGAAACAGCTTATTTGGTTTACACACAGCACTGTTCATCATTGAAGAAAGGACAGGAACTCAAGCAGGACAGCAACCTGGAGGCAGAAGCTGATGCAGACATCAGATCCATGGAAGGATGCTGTTTACTGGCTTAATTCCCCATGGCTTACTTAGCCTATTTTCTTATAGAACCCAGGACTACCAGCTCAAGGTTGGTACCACCCACAATGGGCTGGGTCCTCCCCCATCAATACTAATGAGGAAAATGCTCTACAGGCTGGCATACAGCCTGATAGCATGAAGGCATTTCCTTAACTGAGGTTCCCTCCTCTCAGATGACTTTAGCTTGTGTCAAGTTGATGTAAAATTGTCCATCACACCCTGTCACCCCAACACGGCAGATACCAACTAAATGTCCATGCATCAAATCCAGTTCTGACACTATCTGGAGTTAACAGTGAATCCATAAATTCAAGGCTCCAACGCCCCAAACTGGCCCACTTTAGACCTACCTGCAACCCCAAGCCTCAGGAACCTCTGACCTATCAGCTACAAATTGGCCTCCCAAGACTCCCCACTTCCCAAATTTTATTAAAGAGCTAAATTGCCTCACAGAAATCAAGGAAACACTATTCTTACATCAATTATTTCTGGGGTTGCTTTAATTTTTTTTTCCAAGACAGGGTCTCACTTTGTAGCCCTGGCTGTCCTGAAACACACTATGTAGACCAGGCTGGCCTCAAACTCAGATCCTTCTGCCTCTGCCTCCTAAGTGCTGGGATGATAGGTGTGCACCTCTGTGCCTAGCTTGCTTATTTCATTTATTTGATTTGAAAATGAAACAGAATCTCCTGTATCTCAGATCGGGTTCAAACTCATTAGGTAAAAATGGCTTGAACGTGCGATCCTCCTGCCTCCCCTTCCCCATTGTTGGTAATATGGATAGGTTTAAGATACCTCACCAGATTTAAGTAGTGCTAGAGAGGAGACCCAGGGTTTCCATAGTAACCAAGCACTCTATCGACTGAGCTAAATCCCTACAGCTTGGACTGGATTACTATAAAGGACATGTTAAGCCTGACATGAAGATTTGCCAGGAGTTTGAGGCTAACCAGGGCTACAGACTGAAACCCTGTTCTGAGAAAACTGAGTAAATTAAAGCAAATAAAAGACATTTAAGCCAGGCAGTGGTGGCACACACCTTTCATCTCAGCACTCAGGAGGCAGAGGCAGGTGGATCTCTGTGAGTTTGAGGCCAGCCTGGTCTGCAAAGTGAGTTCCTGAACAGCCAGAGCTGTTACACAGAGAAGCCCTGTCTCAAAACAAAACAAAACAAAAACTAAATAAAAGTAAATGAATGAATGGATAAATAAATTAGCTGTAACTTCCTGGTAACTGTGTGTGTATCTGTCACCCAACCACTCTAAGTGCACTCAATCTTCACTGTTCCAATAAAGCAGTTTCAGCCTGGTGAGATCAAATCTGTCTGCCTCTGGCTGTCCTGGAACTCACTCTGTACACCAGGCTGGCCTCAGACTCAGAGTTCCACCTGCCTCTGCCCAACCTAAAAATGAGATCTTTGAAAAGGAATGAATGATTTCGATTGCACCTGGGCTGACAGGTGAACCTTGAAGTTTAGATAAACTGTTCACAAGACAGTTTCAGGCAGTGAGGTAGCAAGTGTTGAATTCCAGAATGATGACCCTCACTCAGTCTTCATCCTGCCGTAAGGTTGAAAGGTTGAGGCCCCTCACTGTTCCAATAAAGCAGTCTCAGCCTGGTGAGATCAAATCTGTCTGCCTCTGGCTGTCCTGGAACTTGCTCTGTAGACCAGGCTGGCCTCAAACTCAGAGACCCACCTGCTTCTGCCTCCCAAGTGCTGGGATTAAAGGTGTGTGCCACCACTGCCCAGCATGTGGCCAGTTTTAACTGAAGAGTTGTGGCCAACTCAGTCCACATTACCATTGGCACCAGAGCCAGCCACACAACATCACTGGCTATGATAAACTACTCACCATGCCTAGTTGTACCTCAGTGTCCCAAGGAATCGTTTCCAGGACCCTATGCAGATACCAAAACCCATAAATGATAGTCTCTCACAGAAAACGGCTCTTTGCACAGAGCCTAGCCAC